CTGTCCTGAAAGGGTAAAAGACATTTAATTTATATAAAATGTATGCCCCTGCCCATCAGTGTTTACTGCAATGTGCTCCATTCTTGGGTTTTTTTTTAAATGTTGAGAAACATTTGTGTTCGATTTATACTATTTCTAGGATAAAAATTTTCGTTGGTGTAGATTGGTAACTTCATGAAAGTGTTCTTGAATAATTGGGAAGATGGCCACCTGAGATAAACCAAATCAAATGTTCTCAGGCTGGGGTAAGTTGTCCTCTGCTCACCATGAAAACAGTCCTTCTTAATAACATTTAATAATCTCAGTGCCTGGGTCTCTCTTTCCTAGCACTGATGCCTTACTTCAGCCTTGCTTGAAAATTTGTACTGTTGCTACCACTGATATATCTGTTCTTGAAAGAAACAGGCTTTCGTTTCCAGGACTGTCAAATCAGGAGCCTTCACAGCAACACAGAGATTCAGTCTATTACTGCACATCATAGAACTCATGCCTGTAGCTTGAAAATAGAAGTCTTTGGTGTAGGCATTTGCTTGTTTGACAGTTCTGTTCTAAATTTTGAAACTAGTGGTAAAGTCCCTGTCTGACAATGGTGTACCAGCGCTTAGTCATGCAAAATAATTATTGTTCACGGTTCCTTAGCCGAAATCAATAGCTCCTTGCAAAACACAACATAATGCAGAGATCTAAAGTTACTAAGTCAAAAACAGAGAAAAAGAAGACTTTTACACAGGGTTGACAGGGAAAAAAAAGGAGGTTCTACAAGACTTGCTAAGTGACTCCTCTCAGCACATGGAAGGCGCTAATGTTTCTGAAAGAGCCTCTGTGATGGAAACAATGATAACTTTTATTAGTATATCCTGCTAATTGTTGTCAGTAAGCTTGTATGATGTCAAAGAGACAGAAGCAATTACAGAGCCAGCAAATTGCATCTACTGCCTGTTTTCTAAACTTGAAATGAGATGGGAAGCCCCATAAAAAAGACCCGCAGGACCCCCAGGGTGGGTCACTATTCTTCTGCGAGCACCATCCGGTTCCCTGGCCCAGGGGCTTTATCTCACTCTTTGCCTCTGAAACAGCTTACTTCTAGGAAAGTGGGACTTACCCCTAAAATTCTATTGGTTCCCTGAGCTAACTCCTGATTGGTACATTTATAGTACTTCATTTGCATGGAGCTCACTCCTGATTGGTCCATTTCTCTCACTCCTGATTGGTTATTTCTCTCCCTCCTGATTGGGCCATTTCTCCAAAGCCTGTTCCTAATTAGTCAACTTTTGTTATACCTCATTTGCATATGATGTTGCAAAGTGTAAACTGGCAGCCTATAAAAGCCTGTGTAAACCTACAGGTGGAGTCCAGAGTTTGAAGTGTTATCTTCTCTGGGCCCACTGGTGTAATAAACCTGAGTTCTCCAACCATCCAAGTGCTGCTTGGTTTCTTGCCAGGATCCAGGTTGCTGTCACAACTGAGCTGTAACACGTTTTTCTGCAACAGAAATGCTATTTTTAGGTTTGCTTCTGTGGATTTCAGTGTTTTAATATATATCCAACATATCACTGACATTAAAGGGATTGATTAAATTAATCTCAGTGTGTATATAACTAAGTTTTTGTGCCTGGAGTGTTGGGAGGTCTCCCCGGACCTAGAGTAGCATCCATGCATCAGTGTAGTCGTGCACACGGGAAAAGTCAACATTAATCCCACAACTGAAGAACTCTCTCTCCACGTTGCCAGAGATTCTTGGCAAGATTAGGTGTTGCTTCCTGACTGCTTGACTGAAAGGGATGATGTCCCTCTTAACCTTGGTGGACAATTGCACTTAAGAATATTCCTTTTCTGGGAATAACAAATAGCAATATCTATTGTTTCCTTGGAAGAAGGAGAAACACAGAAACAAACTAGGATTTCACAGACTCCTCTGTAATATATTTACCTACACGCTCCTTCAACACTTTCAATCCCACATTGAGCTCAAACTGATAAAGGAGTGTGTATAATTATTTTAGGTTCAGCTCATTGCCACCTCTCATAGACTTCATGAGTTTAAAAAAAAATAACTTGTTATTGAGGTTTAATTTGTATACAGTAAAGTGCACAGATTTTAAGTATATAGTTCAATGAGTTTTGACAAATGTATACGCTCATGTAACTAATATCTTGAACATTTTCATCACTCCAGAAAGTTTTCGTATGCTCCTTTTCAGCTAATCAGCACCTTCATTCCACCGGAAACAACCACGTTTCTTATTTCTATTATCACAGATGAGTTTTGCTTGTTTTTGAACTTCACATAAATGACATCATATAGTATGTAGTCTTTTGTGTCTTGTTTTTTTTTTTAACAAGACATAGTATTCGTCTCATAGTTTCTTTTAACATGGTACTGAGATTCACTCACAGTGCTATGTGTATCCGTAGTTTATTACTGTTTTGTGTTGTGATGCATGAAGTATCTTTATATGAATATACTAGTTTGTATTTCTATTCTTCTGTTGATGGACATTTAGATTTTCCCAGTTTTTGGCAATTATGAATAACTCAGTGAAGAGATTCTCAAACAGTCCTTTTTGTGTCTGTCTCTCCTCATTTCTCATAGGTGATACTTCAGAGTGGAAATGTTGATTTACAGCGTAGGTGTATGTTAATCTTTATAAGAAACTACAAGACAGTTTTCCTAGTGTGAATATTCCGTATTTTGCTCTCACAGGCAACATCTGAGAATCCCGTTTGCTTCACACCCTCGTCAGTATTTGATTTTGTCTGTCTTTTCAATTCTTGCCATTCTGATGTTTGGGAAGAAATAGCTCATTGTGATCTGACTGCGTATCTCTGAAGACTAGTCCCAGTGGGTACCTTTCTCTATACTGCTCAGCCATTCATATATCTTATTTTGTGAAGTGTCTGTTCAAATCTTTTGCATATTTTTCTATTGTTCATTGTCTTAATTATCACTATAGGTATTCTTTATATTTTGAACACAAGTTCTTTATTAGATAAATGTATTGAGAATATTTTCTCCCAAACTGTGGCTTGCCTGTTTATTTTCTTATAGATGTCTTTTGATGGGTAGAAGATCTTAACTTTGATGAAGTCCAATTTATTAATTTTTTCTCTTATAGAGAATGCTTTTTGTGTCTGATCGAAGAAATCTTTGCCTATTACAAGGTCATGAAGATATTCCCCTATGTTTTATTCTAGAAGTTTTACAGTATTAGTTTCTAGGTCTAATCATGAATTATTTTCTTGTGTATGCTGTGAGCTGGAGTTTGAAGATGATTTTTTTCTTTTCTTTTTTGTGTATGTATGTATATATATATATATATTATTAAAGTACACTCAGTTTACAACATTGTGTCAATTTCTGGTGTGCAGCACGATGCTTCAGTCTTACGGCTAACCAATTGTTCCAGCTCCATTCATTCAAAACTTGCCTTTCTCTATTGAATTGCTTCAGAATCTTTGTTGAAAATCAGTTGACCAGTTGAGTGTGATTCTATTTCTGGATTCTATTCTGTTCTCTTGACCTGCTTGTTTAGCCTAACCCTTTACCATATTCTCTTCACTAGCTTCCTGAGTTTTCTCATTATTTGCTCCTGTCCCTCTCATTGTGGCTACTTTTAACTCCAGGAAGTATTAGGTTCACAATTTATTTCAGAAGTTAGTACAACTTCTGAATTCATCTGGATCTCAGAGTGTCTATAAAACAGGAAAAATAAGAACTCCCTTTTATTCAAAACTAGAGTGAGATATCACCTCACACCAGTCAGAATGGCCATCATTAAAAAGTCCACAAATGATGAATGCTGAAGAGGGTGTGGAGAAAAGGGTGCCCTCCTACACTGTTGATGGGAATGTAATTTGGTGCAGCCACTATGGACAATAGTATGGAAATTTCTTTAGAAAACTAAAAATAGAGTTATTATATGATCCAGCAATCCCACTCCCAGGCATATATCTAGAGGAAACTCTATTTTGAAAAAATATGTGTACTCCAATGTTTAAAGCAGCACTATTTACAATAGTTAAGACATGGAAGCAACCTAAATGTCTACTGACAGAAGATTGAATAAAGAAGTTGTTACACACACACACACACAC